GGCCTTGCGGGTACGGCTAATGACCTTCGGGTACGGTAAAGAACCGGCCTGAACGGTAAAGAACCGGCCGGTACGGTAAAGCAGCGGTCGGTACGGTAAAGAAACGCATGCCACAGGAGACTCACAGGAAACCGGCTTGGTGGTAATGATCAGTTCCCCAAGTTTGTGTCGTACACGTGACTGTGAAAAGTAGATAGAAACATACTGATAATAGATAGTGAATCTTTCCTCTTCCTTTCCTCTTAAAGACCAACTCTCACTGTGTTTTATTTCCTGTATAAACAACTTGCAATCATCAGAAGGAAATTATTTCAACTCAGTTTAGAATATTAATCTTGCAGCATATGCATCTTTCAGTTGTGTAGATAATTATTTGAGAGTCAATCCCCATAACACGGTTATACTTGCACAACTAGCTATTTATATGCATGTGAAACCACATTTATATTTCTATACTCATGCAAGTATACAATGATTGGGATTTGGCTATTGTCTACTTTAACCATGTCCCCCAACATTTGTCCCAGGCTATCTTTAATAACAGTAGCCCATTCTCTCAGTTCATACTCAAAGTTGCTCTTAAAGTTGAAGGGGGCATGCATATAATATATATAATATAATCTATATTTAGGCCCATCATATTTTGATAATTTTAGACCAAATAGGCATACTTTCCCATTGGCTACAGGTCTTCATTTGAAAAAAAAAATTTGAAAAAAAAACATGTGAAAGGTGACTTAGGGTTAATAATTTCTGCTTGTAATTTACACCATCATTTGCATGTTGATGAGATCCTTTGACCTAATTTAGTTGTTTAGTTTACAAGGTTAAGTTAACCTTCCTTTCATGGTTGAAAGAAGTTTATGCAGAAGAATGTATGCTGTGAATAATGGACTATCAATATTATTGTCTGGGTTCTTATTAATTTGAATAAACCATAAATCACAAAACGGCTATTTGTCATTTATTTGTTGATGTTCGTAGCTCCTTATTTATTACCTTGACAGACTAAAATCTAAAAAGAAATTGAGGTACATCATCAGTATCATTTCCGCATTTATAAACTAGGGGGTGGCTGAATAATTTTGTGGAAAAAAATTGTTGTGTATAAGAGAAACGAAAAAAAAAAATTATTTCTACAATACTATATTAAAATTCATATTTAGACATACTGGTAATATAAATCAATATGGAAATATTTTAAATAAAACAATTGTTGTCTGTAAATAAAATACTTGCAAAAAACAAATTCCTCCAGTTTCCTGTTTTAGTAGACAGATATCATACAGTGTTAGTGACTATAATCTCTAAATAAGTGTGTACCACAATTATACTGGTACTAATACAGTTTTCTATCACCTATACGTGCACTAACTGTAGAAGTTTGTAGGGAAGTTACACAAATGATGGGTGTTACCTGTATGCTCTACATTATAACACCTACAAAGGTATTTAAAAACATCATATGTTCTGCTAGCTACAGGTCCACAGTGCATCTAGTGTCAGTGTTTAGTTTTTGTGATATTTTACTACTTTTGGTACATTTTATAGTTTGGAATTTTTATTGTGAGATATGGTTTCTCTCATTCATATGCATTCACAAATACAAAAGTGTATCACATATAAAAGTCATTAGAATGACCCTTTTTTTCTCATTTTACATGATCAAAACTATCATTGCCTGATTATTTAGTAAACTCTCACCAGAGCAAAAACCATGTTATTTTGGTGTTTTAGAAAGCTAGATCATACCAGGGTTTTACATGATGCAATATATTGTGTCATTGACGCATAATTATGACTGTATGACCCTCATGAAAATCAGCAGTGCGTCCTGCGTGACGCAGGAATTTTGGCGTCAAGTCGTGAGTAATCCACCCCTCCATTTGATCTGCAGTAGTTGCTAAATGGGCTCTTGTAACACTAGAACCTCCCTCGATTTCAAATGGAATGCTCCAAATCATCATTCGTATGTGCGTCACCATCTTACACCAATCACACAAAAAATGTACTAAGTAGACGCTTAGGTGTTTATAGCTCGTCTGATAGTTCTCCCGTTGAAGCTTCACCAGCTACGTCCAGTGAAAAGCCCCACGTTTTACTAAAGAAGGATCGTTCATTTGAACGATGGGTGGCTAAATCGTTTTAAATGGCTTCGTTACATATCAGACCGAAGTTTGTGTGAGAGCGAAAGCCAAAAACCCTTTCACTGATGGGTCAGTGACCCTGGGTGTTCAAATTTTCAAACTCAACTCTCATCCGGCATTAAGACTCTAGAAGTCACTTCAGTGTCTGTGTGTTGACCATGAAGTCAGACTTTATGGCTGCTCGTCAGGTAACAAACGAGAGGAAATATCAAGGTACAAGTGACAATCTGAAATCATACGCAGCTCAGATGCGAACTGTTTATGTTATGGCTAAACGGGATCTCCCTTGCAATGTTTTTACCGATTTCATGCATGTCAGAATTTGTTGTATGAATAAAGACCTCGATAAAACTTAGTAAATTAGATGTTTTTTTCATGCTGGTACTCCTCCATTGAACTGAAATCATCTCATTAACTCTCCATTGTATTGTTTTCCCTATTTAACAGATATCAATTCCTTGATTTGTGTATGACCCTCAAATTTGCAATTATGACCCCCAAATTTTCAGACAAGGGTCCCAATGACCCCCACATCTAAAAAATGATGTAAAACCCTGCATACATAACTTCAATGGCAGCTATTTTCGTCAGGTTGACTTTCATTTGTTCTTCTATGTTGATATAATCCCAATATTCAAAATTAACAAATTTAAAGATATTAAATTTACCAAAAATGAATAAAACACAATCACAAAGACTAAATACCAACACAAGTAGATTTATGTCCCATAGCTATAGTTCTGTGTGATACAATGTATACTGATCGAGCCATATGGTTTCTATTTTATAGTTCACAATAGAACAATCCATTATAATTTAGCTCTTTTCTGTTCATTTTAAAAAAAAGGTCATAATGAATGCTAACATATTCATTCATCATACATGTAGCACACAATTCATGGTTAATTAGTCCCCGTTCGGACGCAGTCCGAAAACGGGGACTTATGTTTTGCCCTGTGTGCGTCCGTTCGTTCGTTCGTCCGTCCGTCCGTCTGTGATCACCTGTATCTCGAACATGCATGGACCGATTATGTTCAAACTTCACTCATACATCACACATATATGGACATATGCACATGCATTTTTTCATGATCCGA